AATTCCATATGCGTTTGAGAAAAACCATCCAGGAGCCCTGGAATGATTGAACTCTGATAATAGCTTATCATTAGGGTGATAAGGAGACCTGCTGGTGTGCTAACCTCCAGAGCCTCAGCCCGTCTGTGATCTGTCCTCTGCTTGCTCAAGCCCGATGGGCCCTGTAATGTGTCTGATGCTCTCTCTGGGGATATAGGGAAAGAGACAGAGAGAGAGAGATGGACATGAATCGCTTAAAGTCTCTCCTACTGAACCAAGTAAGCCTCCGTCCTCCCACGTGCCCATGTCAGGAGTGCTGTTGGTTGGAAGGAGTCACTTTCGTGGTGCAAGAACCGACCCAAAGAATGAAGCCCGTGTGCACTCTGTGACCCGATCAGGGTAATATTTTGCATTCGGAAAGCACGGCATCGATCCAAAAGTTGACGGAAAAAAAACTCTTATGCTGAAATGAGTTATGCATCACTTATATTTAATTAATCTCGGTCATCTCTGTACTTACCTCACTGGACTCACAAGGGAGCATCAGGAGCAAAATCACTCTCGTGCTACTTGGGTTCCCCAGAAACGACACCGTCATTCATTAATCAGCGCTGACCTAGAAAGCAGAAGTTCCCTCCTCTCACCACTTAAAACCTGACTCACTCTTCGTTGTGCAGAGAAGATTAAGACACATGGAAAAGAGAAGCAGTCACGACACAGAAAGCCATAAAAGCTGCGGCAGAAGAAACCGTTTGAGAATGTGCAACTCTGGGGTACTCCTGGCGCTCAGGGCCGCCGTCAGCAAAGACAGGACTTGGGAGATTGGACTCTCCTGCTTGATTGCCTCTCTTTTCTTAACTCTCCATGACTATACCTTTATCAAAAAATTCCTCATTCCCTGGTTTATGAGTAAGAAATAAAGGAACTTAATAAATAAGTCTCTGATTCATGGAAGTTTAAATTCTAAGATTTAAGGAAGCCATGTAATCAAGAGTATGTGCAGAGAAATATACCAAATAATAATAAAGAACGCAAGATGTGTATAAGCTAGCCGAAGAATTGACAAAAGAGGTTAATGTCCTTACAGACAAGACTGCTATATGATATTCCTAATTTAAAGTTCTAGGGGTGGGGGCACCTGGGTGGCTCAGTGGGTTAAAGCCTCTGCCTTCGGCTAAGGTCATGGTCCCAGGGTCCTGGGATCGAGCCCCGCATCGGGCTCCCTGCTCAGCGGGGAGCCTGCTTCCTCCTCTCTCTCTCTGCCTGCCTCTCTGCCTACTTGTAATCTGTCTGCCAAACAAATAGATAAAAAATTTTTTTTAATTAAAAAAAAAGTTCTAGGGGTGTCTGGGTGGTTCGGTCAGTTGAGTGTCTGCCTTTGGCTCCGGACATGGTCCCAGGGTCCTGGGATCCCACCCCATGTGGGCTGCCTGCTCAGCGTGGAGCCCGCTTCTCTCTCTCCCTCTGTCCCTCCCACAGCTCACGCTCTCTCTCAGTCTCAAACAAATAAACAAAATCTTTAAATAAAAAAGTTCTAATAACTCTTTAAACTTCTGAAAACAGCTTATATGCTGTTAAGAATGGCATAATGGTTCCCATTAGCAAATGCCACATATTTTCATTTCCACACTATTGGGTTTGTTTTAGGAGCAATCAATATTATTATGTGTTGAGAGGCACCTGGGTGGCTTAGTCAGTTAAGCATCCGACTCTTGAATTCAGCTCAGGGTCATGAGATCAAGCCTGGCATCGGGATCCACACTCCATGTGGCAAAGCTGACTCACACTCTCCCATTCCTATACAGCAGCAACCACCAAGGGCAGAGTCTGTGCCCCCTTGAAATCTGCTTAAGAGTCTCTCTCTGCCCCTCTCCCCTCTCTCTCTCAAACAAATAAATAATTTTTTTAAAAGGCTTATTACTATGTGTTGGTATTTCATCTTACTGAAGACATTAATGACTGCCATTCAGTCAAGAAGCAATTATTGAGCACCTACTATATGCCAGTTATTGTGGTGGGTCCTGGGTTAGGGGAAAGAATAAGAAAATGTTTAAGGTGCAATTCATAGTCTCCAGAGGATTACAGGATTCTGATTTGTGCATTTGCAAATCATTGTTGCCACTGTGGGCATTTGCCTGAGCCCCTGTTCAACTCAAGTGTAACATGAATTAGACAAATGAATATGGACTCTAGCAAGGAACAAAAGAAAATAAGACAAACAGTGCATGAATGGAATTAATGGCACCAATTAATTGGAGTAGAATTGATGAAAGACATGGTGTCCTAGGAGTTCCAGTTCACATATTTCCTTAAAGGTAGTGAATTTAGAACAAAGTCCAGATGATTCTGAGAAAGTGAACAAATTGTTGAAGATTCCCCAAAGGAGAGGATTATATAATAATATTACAACCATGAATGGCAGTCCCGGTTTAGCTCCCAAATCCAGTGGTATGACCTTGGACATCTTATCTACCTTTCTAAGGCTATTTCCTTACTGATAATATGTGTAGCTATTAATCTGCCCAAGAAGTTACAAACTACAGTCATGTTGGGTCAGCACAGATTTTGTAAAAATTTGGATTAGTTGACAACCTTTCAAAATCAGGAGATTTCATGTAAATGTCCAATGTACTAGTTTATTTATATATATATTTTTTTAAAGAAGCTATGGCAAAGCTGATTCACACTCCCATGTAGCAGCAACTGCCACGAGCAGAGACCGCACCCCCATTAGAGCTGCCATGTGCTTTGCAATCTGCCATGGACCACGGCCAACCTGCTTCACTCATCCTCTCGGCTACCTACCTGGCCTCTATAGGCATTTGAGTTTCTCTCTCCTGAAGTGGATCATTTGTAAGGGGTTGTTGTTGTTGCTGCTGAAAGCTGTTTGAACTGCTTCAATTTAATATAAATTTAAACTATCTGTTGTAGGGAGAAGAGACAGATCTCCCATACAAAATTCCAAATAATGCATGTAGATGCTCCACGTTTGCAGAAGTGGCATATATTCTCATTCTTTAAGTGTGGGCTCTGCATGGTGACTGCCTTCCAAAGAGGTCAGTAAGTAAAGGGAGGGAAGGAAGAGTAACTCTGCAACTGAGAAACCTGATAACTGCTACCTGAGCCAGGTGACGAAGGCCAACATCAACAGTCATGATAATTCAGGTTGACATTATTTATGGTCTCCCTCCCCAAATCTATAACCTCAGTCTAATCATGAGAAAAACATCAGAGAAATCCCAAGAGAGGGATATTGTACAAAATACTTGACTGGTACTCCTCAAAGCTGTCAAGGTCAACAAAAACAAGACAAGTCTGAGACCATCACTACCAAGAGGAAGCTAAGAAAATATAACAAGTCAATGTCATATGGTAGCCTAAATGGAATCCTGGCCCAGCAAAAGGACATCATGCATTAAGTGAAGGAAATCTAATTAAACTGTGGCCTTTAATTACCAACTGTATGGATATTGTTACATTAATTATAACGAATGTACCAAACCAAAGCAAGATGTTCATACTAGGGGAAACTACAGGGTATATGGGCATGCTCTGTTCTATCTTCATATCTTCTCTATAAATCTAGAAGTGTTCTAAAAAAAAATGAAGTTACTTTTAGAATATTTTATATATGCATGTGTATGTGTATATACATATATACAAAGGACACGGAAGTATTTCAAGGGATTGGTGGAGGATTTGGACACTCAAGACTGGAAAGACAAGGTCAGGTTTTCCTACAGCACCACCTTTAGTGTGACTCAGCTCCATCATGTCTCAGGCACCACATTTCTCAGTTCCATATTTTGCACTCTTCACAGACAGCCCATTGCTTCGGCCTGGGGAGGAGTCGAAGTCTGGAGCTACTCATTCTACCCAGGGTTCGTGTCAGAATCACGGCCACCATACTCATGCCTGTGTGTAGGCGACCATTTTCTTAAAAGGGGGAATAGCTGACAGGCCCCTCTCGGTTCTGCTGTTCCAGGTAAGATGGCAAAAGAGAAGAGGTTTAGCCAACAAAATCAATGTCCTAAAACACAAGGGCAGATATTCCACAGCAAAGGAGCAGCATCCTTGCCCTTTACACATACTAGAAAAATTTGGTGGCGATTACAAAATTTTATGAAATCAAGATTTACAAAATCTGCTTTCTGCAAAAAATTGATTTTGTCCCCAAGGACTCAAGTTAACTCTCCTGACTTTTAACTACAGGTGCTCTTACTTTAAAAAAAACAACAACAACAACAACAAAAAACCTATATTTAGGGAAAGTCTACCAGTACTCGTGGTAATTGGAAACCATGGATGTTTTGATACATTGATATGGTGGAAGGGAGACCAATCCAATGCAGACCAGCTAGGAGTTTCACAGAATAGTTAGTGATTTAAGGATCACTGCCCTTAAACCAGCTCATGTAGTCGGTGTCATGGCACCAAGTAGGAAAAGATGCCCTTCCTCAAGACGCTTCATTTCTGTTTGCTGGGAAACTATCATTATGGGTTGCTTTTGTTAGAACAAGACACTTCACTGACATCTACCAGGATTTCGTGAAAATAAAATTATAAATACGTGATACCTATGATGTGACCTCAGGTGCCTGTGTCCTGCAGAAGCTGTACAGCCATGTGCTGTCACTCTGGGTGCCACTGTCTGTTGTGAGCAAGTGTCAAAGGCTCTTACAGTCTTTTTAAGCTTGACCTTACTTTCATGTCTCGCTATTCGCGACCCCCCCCAGTGGAATGAGCATTCCAACTGTCATGGGTAATCATTATTATATTTACCTTGGATTGAAAAACAGAATCTGACTCTTGGACTGATCCTATAATTGCACTTTCCTTAACCATCACAATGAGGATAAGAACGTCCATGGGGCAGGGGTATTACAAACACTAAGTGAGAGGACACATCAAAGCACTAAGGACAACGCCAGCCAGATCATGAGGCCTCCCTTGACGCTGGGGTTCCCCCTTCCCTACTTACAAATTTTCCATGGCTCACCAGACCAGTCAGGAGTGTCTGTCGAAAGGCCTAGGGCTGTTCTTGCTCATGGACGTGCTTTCAGATACATAGTCGCTCGTTTCTGTGTGCGGGAAGAGGGAATGGTTTTTACCTGCCTTGCTTCAGTGAAGTCAAATCCAAATTACACCATCTATAGACACGGTGTGGGTTTCCTCTTCACAAATGATATTGCAAGAAGCAGTTTATGACTTCTATGCATTAGAGAACCAATTTCTAAATGGCATGTAATGAAGTTTCAGAAATTCATTTCAAAGAACATTTTATCCTTGAAAAATATTTGCTTGGTTTATTTATCTACTCCGATTGAGATTACATATCTTAAGTTAACTGTCTTATGAGTTACCTTGGGCTATAGTGAAATAAAATTAAAACATAAATTCAGAACAGTATTTAAATATGGAGAATTGAAAATGCCATTCATAAAAATACACATTTTCTCCATCTAAATTATTCCTGTGCCCTTCATTGCCTCAGGTAGGGGAACTGTATGTTTAAGGTACTGTGGGAGGCTTCTTACTTATGTCCTCCAGCCACACCTGGGTCATCTCTACATGAAGGGATGAGGCCGCTGGAGGACAAAGGTATGAGAGATCAGCGTGAATTGAAGGAAGAGAAATGAGTTGAGCAAGAGAAATATACAGACTGACAAATACCTTGGAAGAGGGCCTTCCTCTTGGGGTTCAGGATGAATAAAATCTTTGAGGAAGCAACAAGTTAACTATGTTTGGAGAAAAAGGATATGAGCTGGAACAAAAGATTTCTGTAGGGAAGGGTTGGACAACAGCGAAATCACCTACATCACCAGGCTGAGATATTTGGACTAGATCTTAAGACCATTAGGGATTGCCAGATATTTTTAGCTAGTGAGGAAAAAGGTATTTTAGGAAAATTTTATCCGATAGGAAAGAAAAAAGACTATTTCAAAATAAAATAATTGAAATTAGTCTTATTTTATTTGTTATAATACTAGTGCGGAAGAGGACCCTTACAACAAGCCTACTTAAAAAAAAAATTATTGAAGTCACCAATTACTTATTGATACTGGGAAGGGGTCAAATTAAAATCATTGCAATGGTTTAACACCCATTTCTCCCTCCATGCTCTTAATTATTCAGGGTGGGTCCCAAATCTTTGTTTCATGACTGGTGACTTATAGTTTTATCTTTTCACAATTTAAAATATTTAATTTCCATCTCAAACCATCTGTCTGGGGGCACCTGGATGGCTCAGTGGGTTAAAGCCTCTGCCTTCAGCTCAGGTCATGATCCCAGGGTCCTGGGATCGAGCCCCGCGTCGGGCTCAGTGCTCAGCAGGGAACCTGCTTCCTCCTCTCTCTGCCTGCTTCTCTGCCTACTTGTGATCTCTGTCTGTCAAATAAATAAATAAATAAATAATAAATAAATAAAACCATCTGTTTCTCTGTTTTTTATTTTTTTTTTTTAGTGTGGTTTTTGTTTGATCGTTTTACTATGGTTCATGGTAAAGGAGGGTCCCAGGAATGGCCTGTGGTGAGACTCATCCCCTTCATGAAACTGAGAGGGCAACCCTAGGGAAGGCAGGGCTAAGTACTCCAGGAAGAAGAGACCTGCCCTGAGATCTCAGGGCTCTGCCCCTTCTGAGATACTGTGCTCCGAGAAGCTTCTTCCCCACTCCTCGAGGACATGGGAAGCTCATCACTCCTAGAGCTTAACCCAGCCCAAAACTTGGATCTGGAAGGACTGAAACCTTCATGGTACAAGTAGAAACCAGAAAAAAGACCCGACATTCAAATATGGAAGCAATTTTAAATACCACAAAAGCTAGAGACCAGGATATATCTTTGGGGCAGAATATTCTGGAAAACCAAGAAAAGGTTAATTATAGATATGAAAATCAATGCCAACTGAGAAAAGATCTTTCTGTGCTATTGCTCCAAACATCTAACTTGCTCCAAGTTAAATATAAAGGTAATAGTAAAGATCTGTTAAGTATGTTACCCGGATTATGCCACTCAGTCCTCACAATAAATACCATGGTGCTATATGTCACTATCACTATTCTATAGATAAGAAAACTGAGACTAGATCAATGATAATAATCACTCAAATTTAGGCGATTAATAATTCACAGAACTGGGGATCAAACCTGTCTGCCTCACACCAAAGTCATACCCTTGTCTGTCACTCTCAACCTTTCAGATTAAATTTCCTTCACAGTGAAGGCTCAGTCCGTTAAGCATCTGACTCTTGTTTTGGCTCATGTCTCAGGGTCCTGAGATCAAGCCTGGCGTGGGGCTCCACCCCCAGCCAGAAATCCGCTTGGGATTCTCTCTGCTCCTCCCCACTGTGCTCACCTGTGCATACATGCACTCTCTCCCTGTCTCTCCAAAATAAATCCTTAAAAAAATATTTTTTTCTTCATAGAAATTTCTTAAAGAATTTATTTAGGGTCCCCTGGGTGACTCAGTCAGGTAAGCATCTGCCTTCGGCTCAGGTCATGATCACAGAGTCCTGGGATTGAGACCCACATTGGGCTCCCTGCTCAGTGGAGAGCCTGCTTCTCCCTTTCCATCTTCTACTCCCTCTGCTTGTGTGGTCTCTCACTCTCTCTCTGTCAAATAAATAAATAAAATCTTAAAAAAAAAATAAAAAAGAATTTATTTAGACTTCACTGTCCCCACAACCCATTACATGTTTTTGGAAATATGTTTCTGTTTAGCTGTGAAGATACAGAAGACCAAAAAAAAAAAAAAATCTACCTGCTTTTCTAAGAAAATTGGAGAGATCCTGGTTGCATTTTGTGCCAGCCGAGGGCCATGTGACAAAATGAATCACAGAACTAGGGAGAACTCTGATCCTCCATGTTTTGTAATGAGCCCTGAACGAAGGGACTTGAGAGCAGCCTAGCAGGCAGCTGACCCTGGCAAGGAGAATAAAAGTAGGAGAGTAGCGATGCGTGGAGACCGTGTGTTGACCAAAGTGGATGGGATAATTATAACCCATGTAAAAGCTGAAATGTCTTGTAGTCCCTGTCCTAAAGAAGTAGTATTAAACTAACCATAAGTTCAGAGGCTGAGCAATTAACATTCTTCTTTAAAAGAAATGCCCATGACTCAGTGGTAGGTAGGACAAAGGAGGCAAGAAGTTTTGCACAATAAAACTTTGAAAAATCCTCTCTTCCATCTCTAATAGCCATTTTATATTAAAACAAAAAAAAAAATGGTAGTCGGTACCCAAAACTTTCTCTGTCATTGTCAAGTGTCCTTTGTGGATCTTATCTCTCCTTGTCACTGTCTCTTTCCTTCAGTTTCTACTCTGTGTCCTTTCCCATGGGTAAAAATCCTTCCTAGAACACACCCCTTTAACTTCTTCATTTTCTGTGAACTCAAATCCTATACTGTAAAATCCCAGGAAATAGCTGGAATGGGTAGAAATCCCTTTAGCAGATATGAGTGGAAAGCTATGAACACTCATATGCCAACATGACCTGGTGAAATCTGGGTTACTCAGGTCTGTGTATCATCTGAAGATCTCCTTCTGCCTCCATTTCTCTGTCAAGCAGTCCCAGCCAATGTATGGTGACTATAGTTAATAATACTGTGTTGCATATTTGAAAGTTGCTAAGAGAGTAAATCTTTTTTTTTTAAAGATTTTATTTACGTATTTATTTATTTGACAGAGACACAGCGAGAGAGGGAACACAAGCAGGGGGAGTGGGAGAGGGAGAAGCAGGCTTCCCACGAAGGAGGGAGCCCATCGTGGGGTTTGATCTCAGGACCCTGGGACCATGACCTGAGCCAAAGGCAGACGTGTAATGACTGAGCCACCCAGGCACGCCCAAGAGAGGAAATCTTAAAAGTTCTCATCACTAGAAAAAAAATTTTGTAAGTATATGGTGACAGATGTTAACTAGACTTACTGTGATGATCATTTCACAATACAGTTGACCCTTGAACTATGCGGCTATTAGGCACACTGACACCACGCCCCCCACTCAAAAATCCACATTTAGACTTCCTGGGAAGATGAAAGAGTAGGAAAATCTTAAGCTCACTTTATCCCATGCATACAACTAGATAACACCCAGAACAATGTGAGTAACCTAGAACTCGGCCTGAAGACTGGCAGACCAAACTCTCCACAGCTAATTGTGCAGAAGAGGCCACAACAAAGAGGATAGGAAGGGCAGACACGCGGTCAGGAGTTAAACAGACCAGTGTGGGATTGTCCCCAGGAGGGAAGGACACTTCAGGTGCAGAAAGGAGAGTGAAACAGACCCAAGCACCAAGAATCCCACACTTGGAGAACACAAATCTCCATAACATTGGCCTTTGAAAACCAGAGGGGCCTAATTTCACAAGTTCTTTCAATCTGGGGGCTTAACATCTGGAACTTAAAAATCTGCAGGCTCAGCTCTGAGACAGCCAGGAGGGTGATAGGAAACCAAATCCCTGCTTTTAAAGAGATAGCACAACCAACAGCCCCACAGAGAGACACATCAAAGCAGGAGTTTAAAAAACACCTGGAGTATATGTGAAGGAGATTTATTTACAGATCTCAGAACATGTGCTGGAGGGACAAGGATCTTTAGGAGACTTCTCCAGGAAGAAAAGAGCTGGCTGGCTCCATTTCCCTACGCTGCCTCCCAGCCTAGATACATGGACACCTGTGGGAACCAGGGCAGCACCAACTTGCTCTATTTAGCTTGCTGACAGTGTGCTCTGCCCCCACATTCCCCTGCAGACATGCCCCCTCCAACCAGGCCAGAACCTCTCCAAAGTGTCTCCTGCCCCAGGGAGAGGAGATAACCACACACACCAGTCTGATGGTGGCCCTAGCTGTGGGCTGGAGGCAGACATCTGATCTGTGCAGGCCCCACCCACCAACAGAAGCTTCTCAGGGAACAAAACAGGGAAAGTGCCCTGCAGGTCCATGCTACTGCAGCCCTGGCAAACATTTGGTCTGACTCAACTCAAACCAGACTGGAACAAATCCTTCCCACAACAGGCAAAGAGACTGATTGCAGACAACTAGACTGAAGGCAAACGTGACTCAGCCACAACAACAGGTTGCATACAACACACATAGGAGACGCCCCTGAAACTCCAGGTTCTGAAGAACAGGGGCCATTGCCCTCCAGAGCACTACAGGATCTCTTCTTCATAAGGCGACCACTTTTAAGAGCAGGAGACATGGTTGACTTTCCTAACACTTAGAAACAGACACAGAGAGAGACAAAATGAGAAGACAGAGGAATATGTCCCAAATGAAAGACCAGGACAAAAATCACAGCAACTGAGTTAAATGAAATGGGGATAAGCAATAGGCCTGATAGAGAATTTAAAGTAATGATTATAAAGATACTCCCTGAACTTGAGAAAAGAGTAGAGACCTCAGTAAGACCCTCAATGAAGAGACACAACACATAAAAAAAGAACAAATCAGAGAGGAAGAACTCAATAACTGAAACTAAAATTACACTAGAGGGAGTAAATAATAAGACTAGAGGAAGCAGAATGGGTCTGTGACCTGGAGGACAAAGTAATGGGAAAGCGATCAAGCCAAACAGAAGAGAGGGGGGGATATATAATAATCAAAAATGAAAATAGACTTAGGGAATTCAGCAACACCATCAAGCATAATAAGTTTCACATTATAGAGATCCCAGAAGAAGAAGAGAGATAAAAGGGGGCAGAATATTTATTTGAGGAAATAACAGCTGAAAACTCCCTGAACCTAGGAAAAGAAACAGAAATCCAGATCCAGGAGGCACAGAGAACTCCCAACAAAATCAATCAAAAGAAGCCCACACCAAGATACATAGTAATTAAAATGGCAAAAAGTACTGATAAAGGGAGAATTAAAAGCAGAAAGAGTAAGCAATTACACACAAGGGAAACCCCACAAGGCTTCCAGATGATTTTGCAGCAAAAACTTTGTAGGCCAGAAGGAAGTGACTTGATATATTCAAAGTGCTGAAAAACAAAAACAAAAACACCTGCAAAACTGGATATTCTATCCTGCAAAGCTATCATTTGGAATAGAAGGAGACATAAAGAGTTTCCCAGACAAACAAAAGTTAAAGGGATCCATGACCACTAAGCCATCCCTACAAGAAATGTTAAGTTGGATTCTTTGAGTGGAAAGGAAAAACCCTTTCCTTTAAAAGAAAAGTAAGTAACGCTTATTAAGAAAAGTAAGAAGCACAAACACAGTAAAATTAAGTGTACCTACAAAAATCAGTCAAGGGATTCACAAAATAAAAAAGATGTAAAGTCTAATACCATATACCTAAAACATGGGGAGAGGAATAAAGAATGGGTTCAAACTGAAACAACCATTAGTTTAATATAAACTGCTGTATGTATAAGATGTTATATGCAAACCTGATGGTAACAGAGGAGAGCAAGAGAAGAAAGGAACAAAGAAGAACTACAAAAACAACCATAAAATAAAATGGCAATAAGTACATATTTATCTTTAATTATTTTGAATGTAAATGGACTAAATACTCCAATAAAAATACACAGGGTCAGGGCACCTAGGTGGCTCAGTTGGTTAAGCATCCAAATCTTAATTTCAGCTCAGGTCATGATCTCAGGGTTGTGAGATCAAGCCCTGCGTCAGACTCCGTGCTGGGCATGGAACCTGCTTAAGATTCATTCTCTCTCTCTCTCTCTCTCTCTCTCTCTGTCTCCCTCTCTGGGAAAAAAAAAAAAAAAGACACAGAGTGATGGAATGGATAAAAAAAAATAAGACCTATCTGTACGCTGCCTACAAGAGACTCATTTTAAACCTAAAGACACATGCAGACTAAAAGTGAAGGGATGGAGGGGTTCCTGGGTGGCTCAGTCAGTTAAATGTCTGCCTTTGGCTCAGGTCATGATCCCAGGCCCCTGGGATTAAACCCTGCATTGGGCTCCCTGCTCAGCAGGGAGTCTGCTTCTCCCTCTCCCTGTGTCCCTCCTCCCACTGGTGTGTGCACGCTCTCTCTCTCTCTCTCTTTCTCTCTAATAAATAAATAAAAATCTAAAAAAAAAGTGAAGGGATGGAGAAGCACTTGTCATGTAAATAGAATTGAAAAGAAAGCTGGAGTAGCAATATTATATCAGACAAAACATATTTTTAAACAAAGACTAATGGGAGACCAAGTACAGTACCTAATGATAAAGGGAACAATCCAACAAGGAAGATATAACAATTGTAAATATTTGTGTGCCCAACATGGGGCACCCAAATACATAAAACAGTTAATAACAAACATAAAGGTAGGAATCAACAGCAATACAATAACAGTAGGGGACTTGAACACCCCACTTACATCAATGGATAGATTATCCAAACAGAAAATCAATAAGGAAAAGTTGGCTTTGAATGACTTATTGGACCAGATGGCTCTAATAGATATATTCAGAACATTCCATCCCCAAAAAGCAGAATACAGATTCTTTTCATGTGCCCATGGAACATTCCCCAGAACGGACTCAATCGTAAAAAAGAACGAAATCTTCCCATTTGCAACAACACGGATGGATCTAGAAAGTATAAAGGGAAATAAGTCCATCAGAGAAATACAAGTACAGTATCATTTCACTCATATGTGGTGTTTAAGAAACAAAACAAATGAACAAAGAAAAAAAGGAGACAAACCAAAAAACAGACTCTTAACTATACAGAACATACTGATGGCTACCAGAAGGGAGGGGAGTGGGGGGGATGGGTGATTAAGAGTGCACTTACTGGGGCATCTGGGTGGCTCAGTGGGTTAAGTCTCTGCCTTCAGCTCAGGTCATGA